TTAAGACTTAAGGTAATGAGTCCAGAAAATTATTTAAGTGTTTTCTTACATTTGAATTTTGATGCGATCCTTTATCCATCAGTGGTGCAATCAAATTGTTCCATTCTACAGCAAAAAAAAAATCTCAATCTTCTAAATACAAACACAAGCAGCCACATTATTCCATTCTGCTTCTTAGTGGAAGCAATTTTCATCAAGGATGTCCTAGTGACATTTTCTCTGACACCTAACACTTCAGAAGAGTAAGCTTTTTATTGAGAGTTTTGGGGTTTTAAACTGACTTGTGGGGAATGCAGAGTTCATTCAGTACATGTAGACTGGGACAGCAATAGTTCACAATCAAAAGTTAATTTGCAGGACAGGAATTGCTATATAAATTTAAATTTATTTCAGCTTCATTCCCCTGAGGCAACAGCTTTAGTCACCACCACCAAATGCTTTCCTGGTGGAGCTGCACAAGATTATTTCCACCCGGCAACTACCAGGAGAAAATTAAAGAAAGACGCACAAAAATGAAGAATGTAAGAGTGCCCATCCCTGTAGTTTTTACTGAAAATATGGACTGCCAAATCCTGGATGCTTGCATTTAAAAAAGACAATGAAAATTGAAGTATTATATTTAAACTCTCCATTTAATGGAAGAAAAGCATAACTCTCCCAGAGAAACATAGCAGGATTTTCTGTTGTTTTACATGCTTCATTTCACCTCTTTCTAAGGAAAGGAATTATTTTTTCAGCCAAATAGCCTGTCCCCTTCTCCACACCCTCTCCAAACACATGGTTGACTTTTCATGCTACCGGCCTCTCAGCAGCAGCACAGAAGTCTTGCAGCCTCCTCAGCTATTCGGATCTCCTGCATAATTCAGGCAATCCCCAAAACTAATACACAGTGTGCAGCAGCCCGACCCTGCCGCACCCCTCTTGCGCCGGCATCTTCTCCTTTCCCCTCTGCTTCCACCACGCCAAAGCTGGTGAGAATTGTCCGAGGTCATCCTGTGCCAAGGACGTCCAACTTTGATGGACACCCAGCTCTTTGGCTGCCTAACGTCCTACCCTTTTAGCACGGTGTAAGAAAGGTTGCAAGGGTGTAAGGTTATTATTTTGAAGTCCTCCACAATTAGTAACAGACAAATAGCAGCAGGACAAGAACAGTTGCTTCTCAGGGTGTTTGAAGGGTTCTTTTTGCCTTACAAGAAACCCACGAAGAGAAAACAGCAAATGGAGATAAGCTGGGACTTCATTTTATGCGAAAGTTGGATTGAAGTGTTTTTGGGACACAAACCACGCAAGCACACTACCAGTTTCGAAGCTTCAGCCTTCCACCACCTCACCAGAAACGTAGCCCGGGGTCTGCTCGGCTCCGCTTCTTCCAGCTGGCCCTTGGCAACCTGCTTTCCTGCGTTTGTAACCCCGCTCTGTGTCGTAACACACTGGTAACAATAACATTTCTGAAATCGAAATGCTTTGCAGGCCAAAAAGCTGAGCTCAATCAACGCAGGGGGAAAGCAAACCACGGAGAGCTATTGTTTCTGAAAACCGTCCAAAATCTCTTGGCGCTTCAAGGCATTCCCAATGTCCTTTGCACTATTTCCAGGAAAAATGATTCCCAAGGCCTTGCATATTAAAAAAAAAATCTGGCTTATATCAATAAACATGATAACTGCTGTATTTTTTCTCTTTAATCAGAGCACAGCTAGCATGTAGAAGCAATCAGAGCCGAGTCGAATAGCCTGTTTTAAGTGTAGCATTTCAAAACTCCCAAATTCTCCGTTGAGGAGTGCAAATTAACTCCTGGGACTCCTGAACCTGAGCATCATCTTTGACTACATTTATGTAATGCAAGTTCATGAAGAAAATTTGTGGGCAGATGTTGGCGGAATAAGTGGTACAAAAGGCAGAAGGGCAGTTTTTCCGACCAAATAAACTTTTTCAACTTGCCTGTGTCGTGGCAGAAGCACTGCCTGCACCAGTGGTTGGGTTGCAAGCCTAGAAACAGGATTGCTGGTTCTGATCTCAAATCCTAACATACTGACATTCAACAAGTCATTCAAAGCTCAAGGGGGTTGCAGAGGGAGGTTAAAGGATTTAGAGGAGATGAGGGGTCCATCTACCTTCCTTATCCCCTACTTGATACAGGAAATCCAATTTGCAATTAAATTGGAAATAAAGTTAAACTCAGAGACATATAATATGTGGCCCAGGACAGACAAAACTTCAGGCAATATCATGGGTAAGAACATTGAATCAGTAACAAACCGTTGGCAATCACCACTACTCCCATACCATATATTGTTTCTACTAGCTGTGCAATATAATGAGCGTTGTACTTATAATCCAATACAACCAACCAAGAATGTGCAGACATCCCTCGTTCAGGATAATAGAACATATTTTGTCTCATTTTCGCTATTCAGAGAGCTGAGAAACCCTTCTATTCTCTGGATTATGAGCTGTTCTTGCAGTCTTACATAGCCAAAAAATAAAAAGCTTTGAATGTCTCTGTTCTTCCTATCCACAGGGTCTCAGGTGGGTGGCTTTGGAATAAAGAACTTATAAATGAAAACTTAGATGATCAGGTGTACTTTAAGATTTTACAGCTAAAGGGAAGTCTTTAGGATTTAGGAAAGGTGTGAAAAGATACACGGCCATAATTTTGTAATTTATATTTATCCACCCCCTGCTCCAAGCATCATATTTTGAAGAGATAAGGAAGAGTCTAGTATCCCTGTGAGAACAGTGATAAGCTTATGGCTTGTTTTCAGATTTCACACCACATGCTGTCTCTACCGCAGTCCCCTAGAACAACCGCTGTCTTCATGGGAAGGCACTGTGCAATGAAATAGTCTTTCAGGCACATTTCACAAAACCAGAAATGACGGGTTAGGGAATTTTGTTTGGTTTTTTCAAACAAATGGTGCGCTTTATGATGTCCTACCTCACATCTCTATCACCTCTCTACCTATTAGATTTTCCAAACGCTTAACCTTACTGTGATATTTAACATGGGTATTTTATTTTCGGAATGATTGTGAAACCCTTTACATGTCATGGAAAATTAAAGAACAAAGATCTACTAAAACCAAAGCAGTTTCATTCCCTTGTTTAGCTGAATATACCTCCAACCCTGTGATTTCACAAATATTATTAAAAATATATAGCCAATTTATTACTCAGGTTCAGGGCAAAGAGTTGCGTTGTGAGGTTGGGGTTTTTTGTTTGGGGTTTTTTGGTTTGGGTTTTGGGTTTGTTTTTTTTTTTTAGTAATAGCTTTGCAGCTGCTCTACCTCAAAAATTTCAGCCTCAGAAATATGGGACTGAGTATTGGGAAAACCTCACTTAACTATGTAATATCTGTGCATGGGTAAGACAGTTTTCTTGTCGTAGCAGCTAGTCCTAACGTTGGTAACCCCTGCTGGCATTGCTGGGTAATGGGATTCCCATGCCTGAGGTGTTAATGCCTTTGGGACATCTCAGTTACCAGAGCCAAGAGAATAAAAACTCTTCTGTGTTACTGCTTTTATAAATGTAGTCCCCAATTCAGTCTGTTAGTAATTTGTCTACCACAAAGTTACCACCGCCTCTACAAAGAAGAATGACATTAAGTTGTGAGGCCACTCTGAACCAATGCAGAGCTGAAAAAATATTTCATCCCTTCAGGAAGGAAATACACTACCTTTATAATTACTAGGAGAAAGTTCAGTTAAGCATGAAAGTAGGCTTCACACGCATAATAAAGAGTAACAGTGACAAAACCTTGCATCTAATCTGCTTTCCTTCCCTTCACTGCAGAGACCCCTGGAAAAGCCGGACGGCCTGGATGTTTCGGATCAGAGCAAAGAACATCCCCAGCATCTGTGTGAGAAGTGCAAAGTTTTGGGCTACTACTGCCGCCGTGTGCAATAAACCTTCAAAGTGGCCTCTTCCCGTCCCCATCATCCTTAAAGATCCTCTGGCAGCATGCGATCAACAGCAACACAACAAATCAAGATAAAAGCTAAAATAATTGCCAATATTGCCTATCTAATAATATGCCTTACCATTAATAGAATATAACATTTCTCCTGTGCGTGCGCACGCATGCAACAGGTATTTACAGGACTATGATTTGTATACATACATATATATGTAAATTTATATATATATGTACACACACATATATAAAGCGTCACTGATAGTGTCCACAACAGAACCGCGGTTGCGGGTTCTGCTGATTGTTTACACAGACCCTATATCATGGCCAGGTGAAATGAAGTACTATTCAATAGGCAAGGTATAATATTCACAAGGAATATACGTTATATGTATGGCTTTTGCAGAGGTTAAATAACTGCGGGGCCACTAATTGCAAGCACTCTCCCACAACATGAACGTTATTCCTATTATATGACAAGACAAAGGAAGATGAAACAAGCCACGGCATAAAAGAAGGAAAATTATTGTTTTCCCAGTTTTAGAAAGTCTGAGAATTTTGTGCTGCTGCTTTCTTGGACTTTTTCTATTTGTTACCATCGCTTGGGCAGGGCTTAGGCAAAATCATTTTTGCAGGACGCGGCAAAAAAAAAGTGAATAATTGTTTGAGGGTGTGAGTTGGGTAGAAAGGGAATGCCATAATGGGACCCAGAGCATCAGGAAGGATTCCAAGAGGTTTTTGAAGGAGACAAAATTGGCTTGCTTGGGCGACTAACAGATCCTTCTCTTGTCATATAATCCCGCGGAAAAGGTCCCTGTATGTGTATGGGCTGTTCATTAGGCCACAAGCACACTAAATTTACTGTGAATAAGGGGGGATAAGAATACTTAAAACTGCCCCCAAAACTCTTAATTGAAAGATTAGCCAAACTAACTATTTATAATAGTTCTAAAGCCACTTTCTGGAAATATTTTTATGTCCTGTTTTCTACTGTACAAATTTGGTATAATGTAAAACTTGTTAGCCATAGGGGTGTTACGAGGCATAGAGAACACTCTATATACGCTTCCCTCTCTATGTCTTCCTGAAACACCTACATACCTGAGGAGAAATGTAGGAGTTACATTTTGTTGTCCCATTTCAGGTAGAACTTTGTGCAGGGGCATCCTGCTGCAAAGAAGTATCTCATCAGGGATTGGGAAATACCATGAACTGAAAGTACCTCTAGACAGTATCCTGTTTGTATGTCTACGTAAGAGTACATTGGCAAAAGGACACAACAAGCAATTCACTTGCATTATTCACTAAAAAAAAATTACAGGGATAATGTTTGTTTGGGGTTTTTTTTAATCAACAACTTCTGTTTTTATGACGTTTCCTTTAGAGAGATTGATTTGTGTGAATGATACTTAGTGGAAATACTTTAAATCCTCGATAACTTGATGTGAATTAAATTTGTTTTGAGGACTAATTCCATAACGCTAAGACAGAGGGAGTTTCGTGCCAGGTTATAGCAGGATGTTACCAGTACGTGCAGTCAAGCTCTTGTAAAGCAAATGGAAAACTTACAGCGAGGATTCGTACAGGAAATGTGAAGCTTTTTCTAAATTTGCTCTAGGGTGAAACTTTTGCCTTTTCCCTGCTTTGCTATAAGCAGGGCAAAATTGTTTCTGCTTATTCTGGTGGTAGTGTCATGTACATATCTCGCCAACTTCATTATTTATGGGTAGCCCAGGTGATCCAGCCTACTGGTCGGAGCAACAGATAACCATTGGGACTCCTGGCTTCTGACCACGGCTCCTCCATTAGCTCCCTGATTTTGGGCAAGTCACAAGATCCTTCTGGACCTCAGTTTCCCCAACTGCAAAATGGGGATAATAATACTTCAGTACACCTACCTCACAGGAGAGTTGTGAGGCATACTTAATATCTATAAGTCTTTTGACATCACTGGGTGAAAAGTGCTATGTAATGCTAAAATACTATTAACTAAATTAATCACTTCGAAACTAGTTTTGCCCAGCTGGCATTTCCATCAACTCAAATAGCTGAAAATAATATTATTGAAAGTTAACACTAATAACAGTTCAGTTGCCTCAGTGAAGATATGCAATTTTAGCCTTTTCAAATGGAAACACGTTTTTTTGCACAGACTCAAAAATTACCTTAGAGACAAATTCTGTAAACAAAAGATACTAGTCTGCCCATACAAATAAGAATAGGACAATACACAGGCAAATCTAGGGGTGGATTTTCAAAGCTTGACCTCTAGTATTAATCTTGATAGTTTGTTTCAAGCACAAGTAATTTTGAAAGAGCCGCATACTAAACCAGATCTGTTTTTTCCTCTTGAGCACTTAATAGCACATGAACAAAACAAACAAAAAAATCACCTTGACGCTTCACATCCAGCTAAAGGACATGTAGAGAAACCCCCTTAGATGAAGATAAGGGGAAATGTTACTTTATTTTCTCCCTGACACTAAGATGTTGCTATCAACCATTTTTTGGTGCGTTGAAATAATTTCCATCTTACGATAACCACTAGATCTGTAAAATAGCACATCCCTTGATGTAGCTACATCAATATACAGCACACCACCAGGTTCCGAACAAAGACCAACTAAGAGATACCATTATATGCAATTGTTACTATTTTCATGACAGCGCCCTGTTAAAAATTGTTTATCCAGATTCAACACTGCATGGCAATGCCTTTAGCTTATGGATTTTTACGTTGTACTTTAAAATAAGGTTCTTAAAAATACACGTGATCGACTTTAAAACAATTAAAGTCTGTAGATGTAGAATAACAATTCTTAAAAGCATGCTTAGGAGACTTCAATATTTATATCATTGATATTTTCCTAGGCAGCAGACATATAAAGTATTACTGTTTAGCATATTTGAAATAGCGAGGAGGAGAACAGATTTTCCCCCACACTTACGTAGGGGAAAAGCAGATAAAGAACAAAACGCGCAGGAAAGCAAGGAACGACGCTGCCGTAGTTTGTACTGCCTAACTCGTAGACCGCAAATCCATCCCGGTGCGGGATGCGGATGTGATCAGGCCCTGAGCACCCCAGGGCTGGAAGCAACCTGCCTGCCTTGCCATCCCTGCCAAAAGCGGGGTGTGGAAGGAGAGCGACGGGGCGGGGGGGGGGGGGGGGGGGGCTGGGACCCTGGGGAGCGGCCACAACCCTCCCTCCCCTGCAGCCATGGGGCTGAACTCCGGCTTCCCCCCAGCCGTCTGAGGACATGCCCTTGTTTTCTGTCCTCACTGCACAGGGCTGAAACCTCGTCCCCCTAACGAGCTGGTGCCTGGGGAAGGCGGCAGCGCCACGCTCATGCGAGGGGAGCGTTCCTCTCTTCCCTCCCTGCATGCGGTTTGCTCGTAGGATTGTAGCATTCGGCCCTGGGCATTTGGTCCCCGCTCATCTGTATATAGTTTGTGGGCTGCTGGAAAAACACATCCGCCTAAGTAATGTACAACAGCTTATGACCACTGGCTTTTAGTTAATGGCACAGAAGGGAAATTTCTGAATTTTGATTTCAAAAAAAGGAAAAAACCCCCATTGATTACAAAATGTCTTCGCTCCGCCCCCCCCCCCCCCCAAGGTAATTCACCCGTAGACCTAACTCTTTCCAAATTGGAAAAGCCTTAAAATTTGAGATTTTTTTACTGGAAAGAGGATGAGTTGATTTACCTCTTAAATTTTTCTGAATGCTTTCTGATGTTCTCTTTAACCAGCTCTGTATTTAGAACAGCAGCTAGTAATCCTTGAAGGCATTTTCAGACAGTCTTACCCGAAGCAAAGCAAGTGTCAGTGAAAAGAGTTTTAAATCAATATAGGCCTCCCTAAATTGAGTATTCTTTAGGGGTGTACCTGAGAGAAATTTGCCTCTGTGCATTTATTTGGCAAACTAGATTTTTAACCTCAGATGCTTGCTGTTGCCTGCCTACAAATCCATCCAGCACACACTTTTTTTTTTTCCCTCTTTTCCCCCCTCTTTGGAGATTTTTAAACTTTTGTTTATTCCTTAACAAACCAAAACAAAAAACTAAACACAATTTGTTTCCTCAGTCAGTCAGAACATTTCACATGGCATTTGTCCTTGGCATTGGCACTGCTCCGGAGAAAAGTATCAGTGATTTGAAGTGCGTGGTGTAGGTTTTATCTGCTTTAACTTGATGCGGCTCCAATGATGTTGTTAATAAATACTTCATTTAATGGTGATGAAGAAAAATCCCTGTAGTTTAAAGGATGGCCCCATTTTAGCCAGTTTCTACTGCTGCTACCACGGACGTAAAATGATGCCACACAAGCAACGTTTGAGGCCTTTTTGTCTCAAAGTTGCTTTTTAATTTCAGATAAATACACAAGAGTATATATTATTTCTGAAAATAGGTGTATTTTGAAGTTCCCCATTATATGGGACTTAGTTTGTAAACTAAAAATGTGAAGTTAGGTATGTCTGAGAGAAGCCTTATACCGAGGAGTATTCTCTACACTTTACCTTTTTGTATAACAGGAAATTTAGATTATACATGGGTTGCGTACCTGTGACGCTCTAGCAGTTATTCAAAAAATAAGACTACTTAAAACATTAAAAGTTAAGAGCTTTTGGAAATGTCAGTCTTCATAGATCAGTTCTCTCTGTCCTGCAGTCACGTGGAATATTTTTTTCCTAGTATGGATCCTAAGAGTTGTCCACTGAACAGTACGCAATAAATCACCAACGTGTGTTTTTCAAGTTAAGTGAATTGACATACATGTTCCACTTGCCTTTGCCAACATATTTTAAAATGTGATGGAACTACCCCCGTACGCAAGTCATTCTTTAAAGTATCACTCCACTCCCGCTTGGGCTTCAACCCGTATCTCTTTCCTATCTGCAAAACCACTGCTGTCCATTCGGTTTGCTATATTGCTGAAGTGCTCAGAGGGCTGTTTGAGATCTCAGATATAGGGATGATGGTTTGTGTTTCTAGGATGAATTTCAAAGGGACAATCGTGTGCAGTTACTAGCTATAGATGATTGATATAAATGTTTACCCCTGTATGAAGTATTTTACAGTTTTACTTGCAGATGTGTATTTATCTTGAGTTATACTTGACATAGAGTTTCTTTCAATTTTTTTTTAATACTATGTGTGTATTTTGG